CCATAAGAGTCTTGATATAAAAGATTGTGTACAGCAACAATAAAGCCGTCACTTGGGCCATCAGCCCAGGGGACCCTCCTGTTCCCAAACTGGCTTCTCTCTTCTTTTCTTTCTTACATTCCCCTATCCTCAGGACCCTGATCTCGGTGTTTGTTGCGCTGGTCACAACAGTTCAGCGTAGAGCCTGATTAAGATTCTCTCTCTTTCTCTTCCTCTCTTTCATTTTGTCCCTCTCCCACACTCACACACTCTCTCTCTTTAAAATAAAAATAAATAGGAGCACCTGGGTGGCTGTCAGTTAAGTGGCGACTTCAGCTTAGGTCGTGATCTCATGGTTCATGGGTTCGAGTCCCACTTCAGGCTCTGATTTTCTGATTTGCCTTTATATTCATACTCTGGATAATTCCATTCCAAAAAGAGTTTTCATAGCCCTCAAGGAAATTATTTTCCATTATACAAAATAATGTTAGCACCTGATGCCTTTATTCCTGCTCAACCACTAGCATACTCTGAAGGAAAGCTGAGGGTCCACTGTATTCTCAGCTAGTTAGGATATAAGGGCACAGAACCTATAATCAGTTGCAAAACAAAAGGAACTGAAGTTTCCTTGCAGCTCAGAAGTTTATTAACTGAGGTTGGACCACTTGGTGTTACTTGCTTGATCCTGCATCTCTGTGTCCTGGCTGTAGTGAGGAAGAGGACTAGCTGCTCTATTGACCACAGGTGATGTCATCCCAAGAACATGGTGAGCCCTCTCTCCTGGTTCCCTGTTGCCATATCTGGGGTCCATCACTATCAGACCCCACTTCTGTTTCTTGTGCCTGAGCTGAAGGGATGATATATTGTTTTTTGTTGTTGTTGTTGTTTTTGTTTGTTTGTTTTAGGATTTTGGCATAGTAGGGGCTAAATACTTGCTGATTGTGATGCATCAGATTGAAAAATTTCCAGCCTAGTTCTGTCAACTCCCCTTTGATGAGAATAAAGCCTCCAGGAAAGTCTAGCCGAGACTCCTGCATGCCATGAACCAAACATTTGAGAAACAAATGGATTGATTCATTGATCTGTAAGCAAGGGAAAACAATGAAAAGAGGAAGATCAAAGAGGTTTCAGAAAAAAATCACAATGTCCTTGCACTTTTTGCTCACCAAAGATTAAGTTAACTGAGATATTCACTGACCTACCCATTCATCTGGATAAACTGTATAAATGAGAGCGGCTGCACCAATTTGCATTCCCACCAGTGTGGAGGTTCCTCAGAAAATTAAAAATAGACCTACCCT